AACTCGGCTTATAAAAAACAAAACAAGGGTTTTAGAACAACCCCCATATGCATCTGGGTATGGTTATGGGGCTCTTCAACACTCAAAACCCTGTGCGCGAGAAAGCTTTTGCCAATATGCTAGTGAATTTGCCCACCCTTACCAGTTGTAGACTTGCACAGCGACCCTCGTTGAAGCTCAGTGTTGAAGCCGAGCTGCCAAAGCGGTTCTGGCCTCTCTGGTTGCGCGCCTCAGTCCACTGGAAGCCTGAAAAGCCTTGAAAGCCACTTTATCAATGGCCCCGCGGAGGACTGTGAACTCCTTGCCCTTTGGCTCTCTGGGCACGGGAACCTCTAGTCTGAGGTGAACTGTGAGACACTGCTGGTGCCGGGAGCCTGGCAAAGGCCTCCCAGAAAGTCCAGACCCAAGCTCGGCTGTGGCTCTGGTCCTTTCACACTTTGGGGGGCATAGTCTGTGGGAGAGAGTCAGCTCATGCTCCAAGCCTTGCCATCGGTCAGCTCTGCCGTGATCCAAGTCTTGCCCTCGTCGACTCGTCGACCGACACGCCGACGCGAACGATGGCGCGACCTCCGCCACTGAGTGAGAAGCCATTGACACTCCATTTCCAACATCTTCCCACAAGGCGCCCCCACATCATCGGCATCAATTATGCTGCCCTAAAGAACTGTTAGAGTCCTCTTGGATTGTAGACAGCGCGTGCGAAACCTTGCGCTGGAGAGGTTGAACTTGAAAACGTCAGCATGTTTTCTGCTGGTGACAGAAGCAGAGGACCCCACGCCCATGCGAGGATTGCCAAGCTCGATCGCCTCAAACACCTCATGCCTGCCTCGCAGCGCTAGGCGGCCGCAAAAAGAGTCCTAACAAACCGCTCCTGAACCTGAACCACACGCGCCTTTCGGAACTTGGCAAGGTCGGAGTAGAGGAAGACTCTGACCCGATGAAGGCCTGGTAGTGAGACAAGCAAGGGTAAGAAATACATTCTCAGTGTATCTGGGCATCTGTCCATTAATGCTCAAGCAAGCAGCGTGCAAAAATGAGAGCATAATGCAAACTCGACCCTGTTTTCAAAAAATGCCATCGCAATGCATTGGCCGCGGCATTAGCAAGCAAGTTGCAGGCATGCTAGACGTCGCCTGAACTTCTTCGGCTGGGCGCGGAACCAACCTGGAGCTGGTCTTGCGCAAGACTTGAAGAGCACAGCAAAGCATCTGCGCATGAGCACCAAGCGCCAGCCATACCAGCCTCCAGCTAGACCCCAAGCCTTCAAGATGCTGGGGGGCAGTCTCGCCGCCTTGGAGAGGAGGTAGCAGCATGCCCATCATTTTGCGGGCAGTGCTTTGACTGAAACGTGAGTGTATGCTGTGCGAACCTGGGCAAAAACAAGCCTGCCGTCGATACCGTGTGCTGAAAGTGGAAGATGCTGTGTCCTCAGGTCATGCTAGATACTGAAATTCCTTTTGAACGTCAGAACCCGAGAAGCTGGTCCTCAAGAACCTCACTGTGAGCTGCGTAGGCCATGGTTCTGGCAAGATATGGCAAACTGAACATTTTCTCCCTTTAGGCTTCCTGCCCTCGCAGCCAAGAAGGGCGTTCTGTCTTGAGAACTCCAACGCAGTAAGCATTACGAACAACTCGCCAGCCATCTGCACCATGCCTATCGCATATTGGCTTGACTGTGGCCCGGCTGGAATTTCAAACCCTGGTTCGAGACTGTTCCCTAGGTCCAGGGTGGCACATCCATCAAAAACCAGCGAAACCTTTTTGCCAGCCAATGCCATGCGCCAAAAAAGTCAACAAACTGGGCTGCAACAGAACTCTCAGCTCAACATGCCTTGTATACCTGCCATTTGAGGAAGTGACAGAAGCATGAAACAAAAGTTGATTTCCAAAAAGCACAGGTTTATATTTGCAGAAGAGACAAGGGCTGCTACAACAGCTACTTCCTTGGGCTGGAGCCATGACTTTGAATCAAAATCTTAGGATATCACAACTTGAAAAAAACCAAAGTGTCACCTGTTTCAAAACCTCGTTTAGCAGACCTACACCTTGGTGGCTTGCAGATCGAGAATTTTGCGAGTGCCATTTGGCTTCCCTTTGCAATAAGAATATTAGGAACGTCGAAATTTTCATGAACTGGCTAAGCGTAACAACGAAATCAATTATCTCAAGCAACAACTTCATAAGCGAATTCCGAAATGTATAGATTCCTAACATGTTTATTCGCTCATTTGCACGCTGCCGAAATCCTGGGCATAGACAAATTCCTTAAGCAGATTTCGGAGTGAAGAGGTGACACTGCCACCAACATGCCAGCAAGCCGCCGTCGCAGTTTTCTGTTGAGAACCGTATGTGCCTTGGCAAACGGAAAAATACATCTTACTATAGCACCACGTCTGCTGCTATACTCGTATGCTATAGTAATGCCAATATGGAACACCTTACAACTACGACGACGGGCTCAGTACATTCTAAAAGACGGTAATTATTTTGACGTTTGTGTGTTGAAGCAATTCGTTGATCACTTTCCGTGCCCATTTTCGACCTCACGAAGGACAATTGCTCAGATTTTGCTGCGTGTTTCGCATGTGGTTCCCCGGGAACACGACAGGAAGTTCCAAGAACATTTCCTGGAAATTTCCTGGCTGGATGGCTCGCTGCTCCATACCAAAGTCTTAAATTCAATAATGCCAGGGGAATTTGTGACGCGAGTTTTGGCTTCGTCGTAGGATTTAGACAGCACAACTTCCCATTCAAAATTGTATGGTAAGTAGATGGGATGGGTATTGCTGAAATCGCTAAACATAAGTTGGCAGATTCGGCAAGTTGTTCTGTTAATTTGCTCGCTATTAGTCAGTCAGAGATCTGTCTAACTGGGTGTATTGGGTACTGGACGACTGAAACTGAAGCCTGACAGGTAGACACCCTACCCGACAGCCCCACCAAAAGCAGGGTCAATTTTTTGGGTGCTTGCGCGGCTTGCCGGCCAACATGCGCAACTATACGTGGCAACCAGCAAAAAAAAGGTAAATGTCCCATGACAAAAAGGAATCGCAACAAAAACTTCACAATCTTTCGAAAACACTCCATTTCAGCGAAAAACATCGAAATTTTCCGAGAACGTGCCAACTCATGCAAGAATAACTTGAAATGCACCAAATCACACAAAAAATGATTCGCTCCAAAATTACAGCAAAATGTCCTGAAACGCACCAAATCAAGCAAAAACGATTTGAAGCGCACAGCAAATGCACCAAATGATACAAACATGTCCTGAAAGGCACCAAATCATGCAAAAATGACGTGAGACGCACCAAAGTCACACAAGACTGTTTTGAAACGCACCAAAATCGCACAAAAATGATTTGAAAGAGTGAGCATCCTCTCGAAGCGCAGCGATTGACACAAAAATCTGTTGAGGCATTGCCAATAACATGGGGAATCTTCAAAAACAGATTAGATAATTGAAAATGTTGAGAATCTGTACCAAAATTCTCTGGCAACGCGCAACCACGAGAGGAAGTGTCGCGGAGCTGTCCCGACACATCTGACCCCAAGTCCCTGAACCCGCCCTTTCTTGCAGGTTGCATGGTGAATTGGTTGAGATTCATGGTGTGGAATCGGTTTTGCATTTTGTCTAGTTTTGCATTGCTTTTGCTGTCTTTTCAATTGCATGATTTTGCATGATTTCTGACATGAATGCATGAAATCTGCCTGACTATTCAATGTTTTGAATGAACTCATAAATTTTGCGGACGTTTTCCATGATGTTCACTTATTTTTCATGACTTTATAACTGAAATTAATTTTTTGGTCCAGTTTGCATGATTTCGCCTGTTTTCAATTGTTGTTGTTCGATTTCGACTGCTGCCCATGTTTTTTCTCAATTTCATGTTTTTTCCATGTCTTTTGCCTAGGTTGAAAAGGGGTTAAGGGTTTATGGTATAGGGGTTTTAGGGTTTCTGGGTTTAGGTTTGGGGTGTTGGGTTTAGGGTTTAAGGGTAATCAGAATTGTGGTTATTGGTTGGCTTTAAAAGTACATACACTTCCGCAGTCCCCCTGACGATGCAAGCAAGGGCCCTGATTCGGGAGTTCCTGTGGGGAGGACTATATATACTATATGGGGGCCTATGTTGGGCCTCCTCTTTGAGAAACCCTATTTCGGGTTTTCGGGGTCGAAGGCAGAGAGGAGAGGAAACCCTGGCGGCAATCTTGTTCAGCTACATATTCCAGTTTTGAGCGCAAAAGGGCTTAGGGTAGGGCTTGGGGCTAGGGACTAGGGCATAAGGTTTAGGATCTGTTTGGGTAGGGTATAGGGCAAATGTTTAGGGCTTGAGGTCAGAGGCGCGGGAAACAACTTTAGCCTCAGACATACTGCGAAGACAGCTCACAAAATCATGATACGTGGTTTATTGCTTTTGTTTTGTTGAGAAGCAAAACACGGAAATGCGGTCTTGAGACTTGTACTGTTTTTCGAGCTGCCACCTCCCGGTAGGCGCCAGGTAGGGTGGCTTGGGAATTCTGTTGGCAAAGCCCTAAACCCTAAATCCTGTTCGCTTATCTTCCCGATCCTCTGCAAGCTCGCTGCTTGAAATTTCTAGTGCCCAAGCTGGAGACGCATCATTTGAAATCACAAGCGGACATATGAAAGTATGCGGGGGGTGGTTTGCAAAATGAGGGATCCTTTCTTTCTTGGGGCATCCGTCATTGGCTTGGCAAAGCCCTCAACCCTAAGTCCCTTTGCTTTATATTATTGAGCGTCTAGAAGCTAACACCTTGAAGTTTTTAGAACTCAGGCTCACGACACCGAAATCATATGACACAAAATTCTGCAAACGATTGCAAAAGAATGTTAGGGATCCATAGATTACCAAGAAGCCCATTAAGCAATTTTACTCTGAGATAATACAATTTCTTGTTGCCCAACAGATCTGACAAGTTAAAAAATGCTGTAAAAATTGTGTTAGGTAGGAATCTGTAGTCTAACCGGGTCTACTGCGTAATCACCGGGAAACTGCTAAGCATAGACGCGCCAGGCAAAGCCTAAAGCCTCCAGTCAGGAGTTCTGAGATTATCTGCACAGGCCTTCGTGCATGGCATAGCTGCTGATGCACCATGCTCTGACTGACGAGCACATGCCTGACATTGTCACAAACCAGTACGAGCGCGGATTTCTGAAGTCCTTTAGCCCCATAGCTGAGGAGGTGACCAGCCAGTAGTGACAGGATCGCTTTCCATCTTGTTGTGGCAGCTGTGGATACCAATCGTTGCCATCACTGGAACTCTACGCTGTTTGTAGTTTAATCACACATAACGCGCTAAGGACCTTGATGCACGGACTGGAGGCATTGACAGCAGCCGCAGGTGGCGCTATACCGCCCTGCATTTGAGATCTGAGTGTACTTTGCTGGTCGAATCACACGGGAACCCACCTCACTAGAGTCACCAGACTCACTCAAGTCAGCAGTGCCTCATTGTACTGAGACCTTTAGTCTAGTAGCAGGCTCCGAGCCCAAACAGGCTAGGCACACGAGACACCAAAGTATGTCAGGAGTGACGCTGAATTAGGCTTCTCTGAGCTGGTCAAAAGGTTGGAATAGTTAGCAACTAGCACCTAGTGAGGAAAGATCGGTCATTAGCAATAGTGATTCAGGGTTAATGTGAACGCTAAATGACGTTTTCTCCGCGCAGTTGCTCCCTCCTTCAACCAAAAGAAGCAGGAACAGCCATGTACTGTACAGAGGATCGGAACTAAGCTCCTCGGCAACAGCGGTCTCCCTGAAGGCTGTGGCGGCATTCACACACCAGTGAGCTTCGCTCCGTGGCTGTGCAAACTGCAGCACTGCAAGGACTTACGATCTAATTTCGATTGCAACATGCTGTTGTCTCCATGGCTCTAATAGAAACGTGTGTGTGGGTCTAGTTCCTCAACTGTTGGAGAGCTTGCCGTGGCCGTGGTGCTGAGTGTGGTCCGTGCTGCATGACTGCACGGAAATCTCGCGCAAAGTATGCTCTTCAAAACCAACCTCGGCACAACAGCGTTGGCAAGGATTCAAGCTTGACTGCCTCTGCCGGAACTTTCTACAATGAGACTGCCGCTAATGTGCTTGTCAGCAACTTGTTTGCAAGCATGTTCTGCTCGAAGGGAGTCAGGGCGGGGCATTGCCGCCTGGGCCTGTGCCACCACTAGGTGGCCCGCTGCCGCCTGCGGATGTGGTTGTGGTCGTGGTGGTCGTGGTGGTCGTCGTGGTTGTGGTGGTGGAGGTGGTAGTGGTGGTGTTGCCATTGTCTCCATTAGGCTCGCTGTCGTCGCTGCTTGGAGGAGTAGTGGCGGTGCCTTTGTTCCCACTGGGTCCGCTACCACCGCTGCTCGGTGTGGTGGTTGTGGTGGTGCCATCGTTCCCAGTAGGCCCACTACCACCGCTGCTTGGCGTGGTGGTGCCATCATTCCCAGTGGGTCCGCTACCACTGCTGCTTGGCGTGGTGGTGGCCTCATCGCCACTGGGTCCGCTACCACCGCTGCTTGGCGTGGTGGTGGTCGCATCGCCACTGGAGCTGCTTCCACTTGGCGACTTATCAGATGATGGCTGAGAGCGTCCTGTAGAAACAGACTCGATTGTCAGGCCTCAAGTGCAAGATGATCATGGTGACACCGCTGTCATGAGACTTGTCGTGACTGTCTCTCCGTGCCTGCTCTTAAACCCGCTGATTACTAGTACAATTGTTGACGCACCCGCGGATGCTGACAAGTCACCCCAGCTGGCTGTCTGCACACCCATATCATTCATGATGGTGGCGAAGGTAGACGTCATCTGCAGCCGAGGGCGCGGAAACATGAATTTGGCCACAGAGCCCGAAGAATGGCCACGCATATGCTGGGAGGTCCAATGCTATCGAAAGGCTGCTTCTGTATTATGCAAAGTGGCCTTCTGCGCCTTATGTGAAGAAAAACTCTGCAGCGGCTGAAGGCTGAAAGCATAAACCCCAATATAACCCTACATAATATAGTAGTTTCCATCTTCTTTTCCATTATCCCCATATACCCCAATATAACCGAAAGCATTTGGCCCTGCCTCGGTCGCAGAAGAGCTTGAAAGGCTCGCCTTGATCTGGTCTTCGTCCATGCTGTCGGCGATTTGGAAGATCTGGAACCTCATGCATTTCACAAAGACCAGGCAGCTGTAAATTCAGGCATCTCTGCTACCAATCCTAAGCTGAGCTTACTTGAGCTTTGCCGGCCAGTGCTTCAAAAGATGAATCTCTGCTTGGCCACGAAATTGATAGGACCATCAGGCGCCGGCCACCAGGCCCCGAACTGAAGGCCTGGGTAGCAGGTACACAAGGGGCAGCGGAATGTCGTTCTGGCCGTGATATGCTGGAGCCAGAGCCTGTTCAATGTTACTAAACCTTGTCCGCCAATAAGAGGGCTCACGGGACGGTGGCCTAGGTGTTTGGAGGATAGCGCCCCATGATTCTACCTCCGGACCGTGGCTTCAGCTTTCCACAATTGCAAGCAAGTTTCGTCAACCACCACCATCCAGGGCTCAACGTCACTACCAGCAAGTTGAGCCTTGTTAGCCAGCTGAAGGTGTGTAAAGCTTCGGGGCAGGACGTTTTGTTACCGGCAAGGCGTAAATTGCGTAAATGTGACTGTGACCGGGCCTTCAGGTCCTCTAGATGAGGAACCCTTCTACAAAAAGGATGCATGTGGTGTACTGTCCACAAACAGGGGGCCCTGAATCAGATCCCAAGCTAACAAAATCCGTGTTATGGGGATCCCCAGAAGCGTATCCCAAAATTGGCAGCATCGATGAACGGCATCAAATCAAAGAAGTCCGAGCTTCAATGAGCTGGCTGAGGCCAGTCTGAACCTCAACCTGGAACCTGGCATTTCAGGTTCAGACTGGGAAGTTTCTATTGCAGTGACCCTAGGGATGGTTGTGTATGGTTGTCCCTGTTGGGAATTAGCTAGGGATTATTTTGAGAAACTCCCACCATGTAGGTTTTGGGTGTAGGGATTCAGCCGGTTGATGCGGCTGGTTGTCCATGCACACTACTTGGATCGACTGACAATGGGCTCGACGCCTGAGCGACCGAGTAGGAACAAATTCAAACTGCTGACTATTTTCCTTAAAGAAATGCGAACATGTGAAACACCTTGGCTTGCACTCGAGCTATATGCATATATATATATATACACACACATCCTATAATCCACATAAAGCCCATTATAGTAGTTTCCATTTTATTTTCCGTTATCCCAATACAGCCGGTGTAGTTCCTCACCCAGCGACGCCCCAATGACTTGCGGGCTGCTGATGTCCAGATTCAGGTTGCCTGCTGAGTTCAGAGTTCACGTCACAAAATGAGATTAACTTCACAGCGCATGTAAGGTGAGGCTATTGGATGACGGGCCCTATTCTCAAAAAAAATGTTGCTATGATTCGGGTTGGCGAAGGACGTCCCCATATCCCCCCAACTCTCACAACTTGACGCGAGGCGCTGCCGCGCCTGAGATAGTTGGCGCGGTGTCAGGACAGTAGTACTGGTTGTTGGCGAAGAGACATTCCTGGGAAGCTACATTGACTTTCAGGGAGTGTTTTTGTACTTGCCTACTGCAGCCGCTGTGGCGTGGCAAAGGACGGCTTGTGCGCGCATCTACATCTACCAGTATACTGTCACTAGAAATGCTCGTGCCCGCCCACCTTGTCTATCTGGTGCTTTCAATTCAACTATAGCACTACCACGGACATGATAGCTGCTGGATGCTATGGAGGCGAGAAACCGCATACAGCTAAGGCTGATGATTTGCGGGCAACAAAAAGATGGTCCGTGTAGCAGGAGTAGCATTTCGGGACATGAAGACTTTAAGCAACTCAGAACGATCCAAAACAAGGGCATGACAAGAATTCGAGGTTGATGTGAAAGAAATCTAGGTTGATGTGAAGGAGCCAATCAGAAACGGCGGCAGACAAAGAATTCTTTCTTTGGGCCTGGAGGGTTGCTGGCGACTCATGAACCGGGACAAAGTACTTGTTCCAACGCATCAAGTATCATCAAGGCAGTCTTATGCGGCTCTACTTTCCACGCTTGATTCCCGCACTCACACGGCATCTTCACTTGCACGAAAAATAATGTCTTGTACTGTATGTTTTCTCAAAGGCTCGTCAATCCTGTCGCAAGTTCGCTTCTGAGGTGTTGGACATGCGGAATCATCAGTATCGGAACCTCAGAGACAGGCACTGGATATGTCATCCTCATAGACGCCTTCTTTCAAACCTGCTGCCAACTCCACCACAAGCTGCATCTGTCCAAAAAAGTCAAACCTCATTTGGTCTGAAGACAAGCTTGCTAGGCTAGTATTCTTATCTCCCAGTGAAGCTGTGTGGGAGGCAGGAATTTGAGCCACGGCCAAGTGAAATTGAGCTAAATCTCCTATCAGAAGCATTTCTGAATCTCGACTTCTCTAATAAACGGGGATAGGTGGGGTGTAATTAGCCACCACTGCTTTGCGCAAATCAGCACACTTGTCTGCAGGTAGAAAACATGGGAAATTTGCAGAAGGACTCTGTCGGGCAGCAGTGGCATGTAGTGGCTCTTCCGAGCTCCAAACAAACAAGCCGTCAGCTGGCACCACCTCTTCGACTCAAAAAAGTCGAGTCTCCGATGTTGAGCCTTTATGCCATAATATACCCTATAGAATCCCTATAAACCCTAGTAGTTTCCATTTTAATTTCCATTATCCCTATATTATCCCCAATATAACCCTATATTATGACCCCCATATACCCTATATACCCTATGGTCACTTTGTGAAGTGATTGCTGCCGGGCTGCTCGCATCGCCGCACTTACCTCAACCGCAGCACGCACTGGCTATGAGTCAAGCATCAGTGCAGGCCGTGTGTCCGGCAAGCCTGACTATGAAAGCACATTCTTCGTCTGGCCTAAATCGTTTAAACAACCCTACAAGAAGCAGCAAGCAACATAACATATCAGCTTGCAGGGAGACGGCAAGACAACTTGCAGCTTTCAACGCAGCTGCTGCTCAGACTGAATACACCGAGTTTTCGCAGGCCATGCACTGAACGCAGGATCCATCATCCTTGCCTTCACGCCTTCTCTCAAAACCTCTCGTGCTGCCCAGCTGCACGTGATCGGGCAGAAAAACTCCACAGTTTTCCACTTCCAGTCATATGTACTAGGCCACTGCAGGCAGCTTCCCCAGCTCACGTTCCTTGCACGCACCCCCGATTCCACTCCAGCATCGACAGCCCTATGTACATCCTGGTCTTGGTCTGAGAGGCGGAAGTTAGCCACAACTGAACGGAAAAAAAGATAGCAATTGGATGAACCTCTCCCCTGCCAAGAGTCTGCGCTGATAGATTTGCACCGAAATCACACCCGTGATCCCACATTGCCTGCAGATTACTGCAACCATCGACTTCAAAGTCAAACTTGCAACATCTTGGAACCCTATGATGGCTGGCAGCGAGGCACGTCGAAACTTCACACCGGCATCACACTAGGGTGTGCGCAAGCACCTTAGGAACTCCCGTTGAAGAACACGCGAAAGAGCTGAGGCAACGAAGCTTGAAACCCAGAATCTTTGTTCACTCAAAGGCTTTGAGCACCCTGAACATCTCCGGCCTGCGCTAGCAAACCAGCCTCAGATTTGCCGGCCAGGTCTGCATCTTGCTGGCTAAACTCCTGAGTCGTCTGCTGCATCAGCTGTTGGGCATCGCGTTTTTCTAGCAGCAGCTTCAATGCCTTCCACGATGTGAAACCTGTTTCCAAAGCTGCCTTTTCAAGAACCAGACCCTCGGTTCAAGTGCACTGCTAAATACCAATTAGCCGCAATTAGCCCTTGGCCTGATATGTTGGCAGGATCTTGCAGGGTGCCGCATGGTGCAATACTGTAGCCTACAGTAGCCTGAATGTGACACGACAGTCCGAGCCTGAATCGTGTTCACCCAACTGATCCAGGGCGTAAAGTTTCGAAGCTGCTCTGGCGTCTTCTCCACGCAAAGAGCCTCCTCCAAGGTGTCCTCTGGCTGGCTCTGATCTTATTCTGATTCAGGGGCACTTGGGTCTTGGGGAATCCTTTCGGCTCCTTCACGCACACTGAGGAATTAGCCAGACCAGATCAAAGCGCGCCAGGCAAAAGAGGTTCAAGCACTTGACGCTGCACTAGCACTTTTTCTGCGCTGGCCATTCTTCATTCCACAACTTGCGACCACAGGGGGGGACGGGGGGACGGGGGGACGAGAGCTTACAAGCACAATCAGAGTGCATGTGGCGCAGCGAGACACGTGCCACCGCGGCAACGGCCGAGTCCTGCCGAATCATGCAGAACCGCGCACACCCCCTATCCCGAGCCGAAACGGCAGGAAACGGCCTAAAATTTGACCACCTTCTCCCCGCCCCCACATCCCTTAATTCAGATCAGCACAGCTGGGTTCAAGACAAAAGCTTCGGAAGCTTTCGTAACAAAATGTAGGGCTTGCAGTGTCCAGGGTCCTTGAAAGTGCTCGTGCTCCAGCATGGGCGCGTTTGCCCGTAGGGACAGCCCTGCACTACACGGCAGTGTTATGGAAAATGCTGTTGGAACGGGAGTTCCACACATCACCCAATCCGTGTCATCGCACCTCAATGGATATCACGTCGCCCCCTGGATTTCGGCAGCCACATGTCTCCTTCAAACAGTCCAAGGACAAGGAACATCAGGAACTGTGACTTCACTATGCTGCCCAAAACTGCCAGGTGTCTGAACAGAACATACGGGTCGTGAATCCCATGCCACCGTCGATGGACCACTCAGGCATCTTGGTGATGGAATTGCCTTCAACGAGCGCTGCGTCTTCAGCTGTCTGTTCTGCGAGGCTGCGCAGAACGCAAACAAAAAAACCGACCAAGCCAGCTGAGCAGCAGTAAGGCTTCGCATCTTGGCAGCTCATGATGCTTTGATTTCCAAGGCTCTGCCGCAAGTAACTGAGAATCGGCTCCTCACTGCAGTCTGCCGATTCTACTGCCATGGCTGGCATGCCGTTCTGAATCTAGATTTTCTTCTTGCCATAGTTTTGTTCATCAATCTTGGCATGACCATCCTTGCCATTACAGTGCGCATCCCTGATGTTATTTTACACTTCTTGGTAATATTGCAACACCTGAGCAGAGTTGGCAACCGACATGCCAAATGTCCTTGTCGCCCAAGTCTTCACAGTTCGGGTTGTATGCATCCACTGTCTGGTCCACAGTTAGAACCAAAGACTCTGAGAGTCTGCTCCTGAAGGCAGAAGCTCTTCGCAGTCTGGGGGCGCAAGGCAAGAAAGCTCTACTGCACGTGCTGACTTCAAGTTGGAAGCTGAATGCTGACCTCTGTAGCGCATGGAGTTGCAGCACAGATGTTTGATTGACAGCCTGCTGCATCGTTGGACCTTCAACATTCCACGCAACGTCTGATTTTAAACTTGCGCTAAGGCGCACATCCGTCACCCAGACGCCGTACTTCGTAGCCTAAGAGATGTAATCACAGAGCCGGCATAATTAGTCTGGAGATACACCACCTTTTCTTTCCTGTTGTGGGATGGAGGCGAATTTATTAGAGTCTTAGAGTCCGCACCCTGTATGTTTTACCATTGACTTTCTTTCTGGTCGGGGGTGGGCTTCTGCTCTCTTCCGAGTGCAGACCAGAAGGACTCTTGTGTTCAGTGTGGGGGTCGGGAGACACTGACCCTTTTCAATTTGCGTGCCATTCAGAAGTGTTGCGGCTTCATCGGAAGCACCATACCAAGAAAGACTGCCACATGCAAGCGGTCCCCCCGCGCCTCACAAGTGCCAACATGCACAGACAAAGGGGGAGTGGGGGTCATTATTCTCTCCATGCATAGATCTTATCTGCTGTCACTGTTGGAACCTTGCACCCTGCACGCCAACAAGTGTTGATAGTCACAAGGATGCGGCGGGCCGGGATCGCTCAGTTTTGAATCCTTCTCGGGGTTGGGGTAGTGATCCCTATCGCTGATATGTTCTCCTGTCGTGTCTCGTCATGTGCCTTGTGTCGTGATATTATGTGTCGTCTTCACCTTGCCTCTCGCGCCTTATGTTGTATCCTCGTGTCGTGTGCCTGTGCTGTGTGTTCATGTCAGGTCTGGCGCCATCTTGTTTTGTGGTGTTTCTTGGTGGTGTTGTGTCCATGCTCGGAGCCCTCATGTTGCTTTCCATGTTGGGTCCTGATCTTTGTCTCGCACTCCAGCTCGTGATGGCTAAACAACTGCCAGGTGTGGGGAGCATGCTGCCTCTGCTTTGGATGATGCATAGTTCTTGTATGCTTTCATAATATTAAGACGTTCACCACGTGTAATCCTTTCCCCCTAAGCTTTAAAACCCTCCTAATTCTGACTAATACTTCAGCTGCCTAACAGTCTTGAAGACTACCTTTTTTAAAGGAAGACTACCTTTAACAGATGCCACCTGATAATGAATTAGGGAGGGTTTTGAGGTCCTTAGGGGGGGGTAGAATCAGAAATGCAGAGGAATTAGGGATCCGCGTGATATGCTAGGTTTCGATTGTTTTTATCTAATGTGTAAAAAGGAAGCTAAATAAAAGATGAATGCGATTCTAATGGCTTTGTTTACCATTTTAAGTTGATTTCAGTTGGTCTCAGTTAAATGGTAATTCGGTCTCAACTAATCTTCAGATTGATTTCCATTCGTTGCTTATTAGATGTCAATATTGGAAGGTGTTAATTATAAACGGGCTAAAAGGGCTGAACATGCTTTTAGAGGCAACCCTTTGATGCTTTCATAATAAAATTCCCACGCAATATTTAATAGGACCCGGATTGGTTAATATTACCTGGGGGGGTCAGGGGGAAGCAATCAAGAGTGACACCTTTCATCATAGTTGTGCTGCATGTACCATTTCAATTTGCTTCTTTTAAATTGTTCCTATTCTGACATTCATCCAGCAAGGAGCTTTAGAGCTTAGTGCTTTGCAGTTCTTATGGCATCGGATTTTTTGCGAAATCCCATTTGAAGCAAGATACAGACCTAAACCTCCGCATGTTGCTTTGTCGTACATTTACACGTAGCTAAGGTCTCCGATGCCGCAAGGTAGGTCCTGTGGTTGCATTAGTTGCAGTCATACCTTTACACGCCAGTGGAGACTAGCGGAGACCCCTCATCTCTTGTTGATGTTCCCGTGCCTATAGGTCTACATGTTTGATAGCGGTCCTCAACACAAGCAGCAATAGCAGCAGTAGCTGCAGCAGCTGCAGGAGGCAATGGGAATCTCTCCGTTCAAGCAAGGTACGTTGCTCAATATTGGAATGGCATCCTCATGTGGTAGTCCCTCGGCTTCGTCCACAGCCAGGTACCTCTAGATGCAAATGGATCGTTGGACCATCTACATTCCAGCTGGCTGTCGGAATGTGCATGTGAACGCATGATGGGCGTGACGTCGCGGACACACTGATGCAGCTCCCAAATTAAGAGCTCAAACGGCTAGAAGAGTCTCCATGCAAGTGGTGCCGCTTTAAAATTCATCATCCTGCAACGACTTTCTTCAAAAAAACTGAAGCTCATGCTTTGAGGATCTAACAATGCGCATGTTTCCAATCTTATACCAAACCATATGATGAGGAATCAAAACGCCACTGACTGTGCCAAACCTTGCTGTAAACACTGGAATCCAGAGTATCCAATCTGCAGCCCAAAGCCTCAAGCTGAGAGCCTACTACAAGTAGGGTTACGTAAAAGCCGTTGAGCCTCCTAGTTGCAGGTGAGAAGCTGAAAGACTTTCCAAGTTGAACATGAGATTGTCCGCAACACCCAAATGAGTCATCTCCCACAGCCCAGTAAATGGGTGCCAAAAACTTAGTAGCACCGCATACCCAATGCTTCTAGATGCTGGCAAGGAGCTGGATGGACTCGGGAAGGTTATCCCAGCCGCCCCCTGCCGTTGGCGCCATCAATACAATGCGACCTGGACTTGCCAAGAGGAAGTGCACATAATTCTGCACCTGCTGGGCCAGAACCGCTAGGGTATGCTGAGTGTGCCGACGCTTGTCCAGTGTCCAGACAAATTCCCGGGCTCCGCCGCACATGGCAGTGGACACATCTGTGAGGGTCTGGACAATGGGTGCCAGCATTGTGAAGTAAATCCTCAGCCCAGGCTGTCACACTGACCATTATCCTTGCGCAACTGGTGATCCACTCTTGTAGGGTCCTGATGAGAGAGCGCTGTAGTTTGATCTAGCTGCCTTGTAAACCACGGCTCAAATGCTGACATCATTGGGCTGTGTACAGTAGAGACTGCATAGAACACTTCACCCACAAATGTTGTAAACATGCTCTATGCGTTCAGAGCCCACAACTGATGCATGTATGCCAGGAGGCAGGATGGTACCTCCCGGGATCCTTGGCTTTTGGTAGCTCCTCTGCTTTGCTTGTTGTGTTTTTCCACTCTGTTTCTTGACCAGCTTTGAGGCTTTGAGGTCTGGCGCGGCCGGGCTTCAGAAAGCTCATCGTCATCGACTTCGCATCAGCCCCTGCAGCAATCGATCCGTACAGCTCAAAAGCTGCCCGCAAGTGTTCCCTGGGCCGAATCTCCTCCCTACGGCTTTAAAGACACAGGAGAACGGCAGGATGCCGCACATGCGGTGTTCTCCCCCGAGCACTTTCCAGCACACGGTTCCTTTTCAAGAAAGGTCATCATTAAACGAGCTTGCCTCGCCATCTCGGAAAGGAAGGCATTGGAAGAGCATCGAGCTGGTGTACCTACAGGTCATCAGAACGTCGGTGCTCCTATCCTCGTGAAAGGCTTCAGGTCAAGGGCTGCACCGGGCTGGAAGGCTGTGATTCCCTGTGCCCTGTATCTACAACTCTGCCACGCAATTGCAATATCAATATCCGAATCCCAGGATGCATTTGGAAAGTTACACACACTGTTCACTGTATTGCTTATAAAACGCAGGATAGCGTAGGCACCCATCTTCCAAGCTGGTCCTTTGAAAGTACACCCAGCGCCAATAGCTGCAAATGCCAGAAATTTCTGATTCTGGAGATGCGTGGGACAAACTGCTGTCCCGGCGCCAAATGTCGTCCAGGCGTTGTGGCGAGCGCGTCAAACAATAAGTCCTGATGCCATCAATCTTGGCTTGCTTTGTGCAGTTTGCTGTTCGGGGCTTTTGATCAGATCTTTTAGCTGAAGGGCCCTCAGGCTCTATCCTCACCAAATTTCATACTCTGCTCCACTACTGCTGGTTCCAGCCGAGAGTCATCGATGTCCAAGATAATCCCCAGCGCGACAGCATTCAAGATCAGCTCGGTGACGTTGACGGTGTAAACCTTCAGCATCACAGGAGGTGTGAAATACGCCTCGCAACTGGGACATGCCAATTCTGCTTACCAACTCACCTAGATCTCTAGGTCTGCAATGAGGCCACCGACATGCTGTGTGAGACAAAGGACTGCATCGGGACCTGGTGATTCTTGTCGAACATGTCATGACACGGGTCTGGGTGTGCCAGGCATCATAGGCTCATGGACCGAGAAACATGTGCGAGAGCGACGTGCAATGCGCGTAACTGCATTCAAATGAACATGAGCAAAATCAGCGAATCCATCACTGAGAGTGACTTAAAGGTGTCTTCGTGCACTTGAAACCAATAGGCAGTAGAAGGTTCGCCCCGCAGCCGCTTTTTGGAGTCTAGGCTAAAAAACCCAAATATGTTCAGTCTCCTCGCTTCGCGTTCGTTGTGGTAACACCAGGCCCAACGACCAAGGAAAGGTTGGCGAGTCGGCAGGCAGCATTTTGCAAGTATTCATCCTCCAAGGTGCCCAAGTGGCCTTGCGTCAACATGACTATCCTGAATTTCGCCAGGCTACGAGGAAAAAGGTTCCAACGTAGATCAGCAGGCCGGCGGCAAGCAGTCTGTAAAGCAGCAAGATCGCGCTGATCACCTTCCGCCGTCGCGAAACCGCCGTCAGCCTAAGGATTGCAGAAACATTGGCCATGACATCATGGGGGTTCGGGGTACAGCTTGCTAAGGGGATACGTTTCGCCTCTTCAAGCCAGGTGGCTTGTAGTGCGTCACCTGGCAAGAGCGGCAGGGCATGCTACGGGTACAATAATTCTTGACCCAGAAAATTCCAGACATCCCTCTTTCATGACAACAAAGGAGCTCTGGGCAGCTACGCAGCTTACGCAAGCGCGCCTGCGTGAAAGGATTCCTTGGCGGTAGGTTCACACTTAGCAAGAGGCAGATTCTGTTGTCCATCAGTGCGTGGAGTCTGACACATGCTGAAAACCCCAGCACGGAGTCAGTGCGTGAAGTCAAACACATGCTGAAAGACCCAGCATTGAGTCACATCAGACGAAATCCTGTCATGAGTCCTCAAATCTACACCACCCAACATGCGCTTACGGATGTGTCCACAGATGTGTCCATGATACACCACGATACAGCAAGGAAGTCCCCTTGGTTCACGTCCCCAATGCTCACTCCATACCTCCCGGACTTCATGAATGCATGTCGCGCGTCTCCCGCGTGGTGAGGGTCGTTTGGCCCCTCTCAACAGAAGCAATGCCACGGTGCAGAGCAAGCGCATGGCTCACCTGGAGAAAGACCACAGCATGAAAATCAACGATGCAAGTGGCAATATTTGGTACCGCTTACAAAACCCACGATACGGGTGAGCAGAATGAAGTTCAGAACTGGTGCCACAAAACTGACTGTGATGACACTGAGAAGGGGAGAGTAAGTTCTTCAGCAGTATGTGGAGGAAAATGATGGCCTGCAGAATTGGCTGTAACAGCACTACTTTGCGGATACTAGCACACGTTCCGGCATTCAGTGACGATGATGGCGAAAAGAATGATGCAAAGAATCGCTAGGCCCAAGTTATCATTGTCAGGGTGCTGTCCGTAATGTGACTCCCCAAAGCTTCTGCCGCATCCAGTTTAAGCCTTGGGATCCTGCAAGGGGTTGATTGGGGGTTATATAGGGATAATGAAAAAGAAAATGGAAACTACTGTATTATAATAGGGGAATATCACAATCCTTTCTGAAGCCTGCTTTTTGCCATCTTGGGCCTCTTTTGCGACCATCAAGTACCAGCAGATGAGAGCGACCAAGCCTGTGTGCAGACTCACTGGGGAACCAAAATGAGAATGACCGTGCCAATAGTAGGCTTTCTACAGTAATCGGGAAAAATTAATCATGATAAAGCCTAGGATAGAAATGCTTGAGGATCTGCAACGTTGTTTTACAGCCAGCGGCGAAACGCACGGGAAGCACGGATAACCCATCCGAGGGGCAGAGGACCTGACCCGTGAAGAACGATTCAAGTCCCTCCGCGTCGGGCTTGATGTACTTCCCTTAGTCACTTCTTCTGCTATGCGCAGCAATAAGCAGGCCAGCTCCCCTGAAACCCCAAAGGGCTTGAGTCACTTGAGCCACCATGGGGCTGTTGCTTGCAACCAACAGGTTGTGCCTAGCAACCAATATTCTCGTACATATTCATCTGGATGCCGGATGTCGGAAGGGACCTTGGCAGCAACCGCTGCTCGCACGCATGCACAGAGACAGAGAGCCATGTACCGGTAGGCATACCTGAAACTTGAAGAAGACTGACTAATTTGGTTGAGACGCTTGTCCAGTGCGCAAACCCTTGCCACCAAAGAGGACTTTGAGACATCGTCATATTCTGTCAAAGAATGTCCTGTGAAAGTCGAACAGAGCATTGATCAGAGCTCTGTTGATATGTGGCGGACTGCATTAAGGATCTTGGAGCAAGGGGGATGTTTGCGGAGCAGCTTTCTGGAAGAGGCTTCCAGGTTATCAACAGGAACGCTTACGTTGCTCAGCGTGCAGAAGTCACTTCAGCCCTGGCCTGAGGATCGTCGCCACTGAATGGTTTCGTGGATAGTGTCATCCGTGATATCTGGTTTGGTGAAGTTGAACATTGCAATCCCCACGAAGATGCCTTGCCTTGCAAAGGAACCCATGGGACCTCTGCTTGCCTTGAATCGCCTTCTGCAAGCCAGGCTTTACCATGTGCGGGAGCTGGCGCCTTGAAACTTTGCTATATGGTAGTTTCCGTAAACGAGAGCCCGATATAGACGGCGCAGTAAATTGTAAACGTACATAAACGTATAGTAATGGGGGTCCCCAATCATGGACCAGTAATATACGCAAATCTCGATATCGAGCTTAATCACTTTAAGGGCGTTTGCCAAACCTCTTTCCAACCCTCTTACAGCATGGGAGGACCACTAGTGATCCATTGAAAGGGTTATGTGAGGGCTATGTAGGCAAATTGGATCATAAAAGGAATGATCAATCTATGAAGGGTCAGACAGGATTTTGGGTTTTCGGTTTCCACAATAGATGAGTGGTCCCTTTTTGGGAGCTGCCCGGAAAGCAAGATGGAATGAACGTGTTTTGGGGTCTATGATGTTTTGGGCCCCACTGCTTATGGAAGCTTCCATTTCTTGTTCATATTGAAGTACTGGGGCCGAAGGGCCGTAAGCTAGAACTGCAGGACTGTTTGCGCGATCGCAACTACACTTGTCTTGAATTCTGGCAGATGCTTAACTGAGCTTTCTGAGTCCAACAGTGTTGGCGGACATCCAAGCTCTAGGTCTCCGAATGCATCACGGTAATTTCATCACATAATGCTTACCTTCAGCATCCTCTTTAAGACTTGAGAAGGCTCCAGCACGCTTCTTGCTGAGGAATCCTCGATCTCACAGTTACGCGTTGGTTCGGGACAGTGGCAACCTCGAGCACTGGCCCAGACAATTTGCACGAGACAGTAACTAAACTGAATCAGCCACTGCACTGAGGTCCTTCCAAACGCAGCTACACTACGCGGACATTTGCAAACAGTGCTTACGAGGCTCAACCTTACACCGATCAAACCTTTCAGGTTGCTGAGCTGACGCATGATCTTCACAGTTATGACTTGAGTCTGCGAGCGCTTGAACTTACCTCGTTTGCCCATCCCTGAATCCCTGGACAGCTTCCGATCCAAAGACTTGAAGCGTTCGCCAAACTAACAAATTCGAGGCGCATGATGACGTTGACAATGGCCAGGACGAAGGTCTGAAAAGAACCCAAAGGCCCCAGCGCCTCAGAAATAGCTTCACGCTGTTGGGAAGACTTGATGGAAGCATCTATGTTTTTTTTTCTACCGTCTATTTGAAGCCTGGGATTGCTCTTGAGTGCTCAAGTCCCGGCTGCACGAAGTCGTTCCTGCTATGTGCAGCAGGTAGACGCCCCGTACGGTACCAGCCTAATATTATTGATGTCCATAGACCACGCCTTGTTGTTCTGGTTCCTTGATAGCCAAGCTGCTCCAGTGCCAATAAACATGAAGAGATCCCAAGTCGACTCGCCAAAGGTGTAGTACTCCTCCAAAGTGCAGGGTGCCGGGACCGAAACTCTGGTCTGCAACCCATCCAGGTTCCTACATACATATACTCGCTGGGCCTAGTTGAGCACTCTTTACAACCTGTTTCTAGCAATGCAGAACACCAAAGAAAGGCTTGTCTTGCGAGGCCTTGGTCTGAGTATCAAGGATGTCCTCGGTGATTCGCACAACCTGCCAGCCAATAGCTGCAGCTGCTAATGCTGCATCACACAGAAAAAGCACTGACTGTAGCAGGAACGGCATCACTTCGTTGCGTGCTTCTCAGTCACTACTCGTGGTTTGATGCCTGCCTTTCCCGAAGTTTGCTCAAGGCTGCTTGCAATTGGGCCCTGGCGCGCCTTCGGTGCGGAAATCGACTTCCTGCCTTGATGGCCCCGCACGCTTGCCCGAATGTTGCCCTCGGCTTCCGGCGCGTTGCCCTCTGCACCTGGAAGGGTGTGGTGCTTCAGATTCGCGGTTCAGTTTCATGGGCGAATGGGAGGCCAAAATTTCAACAAAAGCCTTCGTTCACTAAACCAGTCCGTGCTGTTGGAAATCATCCCCAGCCCATGGCCAGTACGACAATCATTCTCAACATGTAATTCCGGCATCGCAGGAAGCCTCATAGCAAGTCTCAGCTCTCGAACCGAAAGCTCTGTAAACGTCAAGCCCTGGTCCATGTGGCCACATCTTGCCCACCTTCGCCAACGAGAACCTCTCCCCCGCCGTCAGAGGCGTTGTCACCATCTCCGGGCGGCTGAACAGGTGATGCTCCTGACAGCGTGCGTCTTGAGCCGCGCCCAGCTCTGTGGGTCATGCTGAAGTTCAAGCTGAATTACAATGACCACGTTTTATGGATTCTTAAGATGATACTCAATGAGTCTCTCATGTGAGGACAGCTTTTGGGAGACGTCTCGAGAAAAACACTTCTTGAGCGCATGTCTTTTGGTGCAGTCGGGTCCTGCCATCTCCAACTAAACTTGGGAAGTTCCAGGCAGATGACTAAACTCAAAGAAACAATGCCAAGCATGGCACTAAGACCAGCAACAACCTCTGGCCAGCACATGGTATCCACAGCTGTTTTAACAAGCTAAACACCCACCTTCAACTCTTGAGAACCAAGAAGTCTGCAAAAGGCTGATCAACGAACTCTGATAGTATTGTCAGCCTGTATTCTCGGTCCACTTGGGCCCCAGGTTTCGGTTGCTGTCGTCCACGTCTATCTTCACAACCTCGCCCAGGACTTGGGATTTATGTTTCTAGCTGGCTTCCCTTGTGCTCGGGACGCTGAGTGGGTCGACTGCATATCTAGGAGATGTGCAGGGCGCTCATTTCTTGGCTTCGGGAGTGAGCTTGCCGGTGGGTGCTCGGTGCGGTCGATGACCACAGCTGTGAAGAGGTGAATCTTAGCATGAAGGGAGCAGCGGCCGGCCTTGCTTGGCAAGGATGCGTCGAGTTGCCCCTTCAGGGCTGCCCGGAGGGCCTCCAGGGAGAAACCCAATGATTGGCCTCAATTACTGGGTTGCTGTGTTATCCCCCTATAATGGAGAAGCAAGTTGAAAGGAGCATGGACAATGAAATGGAAACTGCGGGAATATAGGGATGCTGAATCTTAGAATATTCTTGTTGCTCCAAGAACTGCTACTGCAATGAAACTTCAAGTTCAGGCTCTGCTGGCTTCTAGCTCACCAGTCCCTGACCTTTACAATCTCCTCCAAGCTTTCCACTCTCTCGTCGACGCTGCCAACCGTGGCCTTGGAATCGCTTCAACTTGAATCCACCAAACATGGGGAAAGCTTGGGCGGGGTGATGCACGTTACCTGAAGCTTGCGGCAGACTAATTCCGTACAACATTCATGGACGCGGATGCTGAGCTGTGGTGCCTAGGGCTCCCATCTGCAGTACTAGCTATCGGAGGTACCAGGTGTAGCATTGGTTGCCATCAACATGAAGCAATCCGGCCGACCTCTAGCTGGTCAAACCGATCCTCAATCTCAGTAATGATCGCGTGGTCATGAAAAGTACCTCAGCATTCTTACATGCTGGCCGCTCTGCTCATGAGACCGTCCACAGATTCAATTCTCACAGTTCCTGGGCAGTCCTGCACAAAGTGTTCGGGCTGACCTTGTGTAAAGAGCTTGAGGCCATTGAGTCAAGGTCCTCTTGAATGTTCATGTTTTGCCTTGACCGAATCCACAACCCCTTGAAGCTGATGTAAAGCTACCTGCAGCCCTGAGAACCTTGAAGCTTTCTTGAGAACGCCTGTTTTCAATTTGATGGAGGCTCTACTGTCAGAGGGTGGCCTAATATTAAACAGAACGCAATGTGATAGACAAGATGCCAGACATCCCGGCAGCCAGGCAAGATCTTCGCTTGGAAATCCTCAGATCAACTTGAAGCACAGGGTCAGCACAGGCATGGCAGCAACACTTGCAGCATGTAGGAGGTCGTCCCTGAGTGTGTTGCGAAGTGCGTGGCAGGTGTTGCGTGTTTCCAGCAGTTGCGGGTGGCTGCAGGACGTGTCCGCTGTTGCCGCCAAAGAGAGAAAAAAAAACATTGGAGCCATCATCATCAGCATCAGAAGGCTTCCATTTCTACTCCCCACGTGTCTCGTGCTCCCACCTCAGGGCCGTTCACGACCTCTGAGGGGTGCCCCCGCACCGTATGGCCCCACCAAAGCAGCAAATGTGGCCTAGATTCCAGGCATTACCGCACTGATCAACAAAGTTGGACTTCAAACAAAATGTGCAGGCTTTCGTAACAGTTGCATGTAACATGCAGTGCGAGGAGAAAACAAAGATCTGTGTGGCAGCAAAACCAACCACCAAGTTGAGGCAAATCACGTTGGTCTGGGCAAAGGCACGGTAGCATTGTTGAAGGGCCAATCTTCTTTCGAACGTAACGTGCTGGCAAGGCTCGAAGGGTGCAAGATCTCAGCTCGCACGAATCGACGACCACAAGCGTGGTGGGCACAAATTCGGATCTGTATGTCTGCGATACACTTCATAGAACTGAGTACTATTAGATTCGAACATGACCCAGCGTTCAGCGGGGCGTGAGAACAGTGTCTGACTTTAATTGATCATGACTTTCACGTTCACCCGGGCCTGGATCTGAGCCTTGGAGCATTCAAGCCAGAGCGGGACGCAAGAATGACACTGCCGCTAGTGCCCCAAAGGGTGCATAACATGGCGCACATACACACACACACACAAAGTTTTCTTCCAAGCGGTCTCCCTATAGTCGCCGTCAGCCGTCCTACCACGCGCGCCGCTGCCGTCAGCTCTCAATCAAAATCAAACAAAATTGATTAGGTCTGCATACACGACTAGGAAGAAAGCTGGGCAACAACCACACAAACACGAATTCTATGGTACGCCTCTTTGCAGTCCACCAAAACCACGCCTAGCCCAATGTTGTCCGGGTGCATCAATGTGAAGCTGGCAATCAGTAACTCCTGGGCTTCAAGACCAGGATCATGTTCAGCTGCTCAACTCGAGGCCTGTTTTGCCCGTTCCACAAATGGGCACCAAGATAACCATCCTTTGGTTCAAAGTCGTCCATGGCTCAGGTGGCCTTGCCTTGAGGCCACCGGCCATGATGTCCTGCATGAGGATGGTCTTGGCCTGCTCCACGCAACCGTCGGTAAGGCTTGCGTCAGAGAGGCCTTCCACCAACTTGTGGAACTGGCCTTCGAGGTCCTCCTCGTTCAGCACCTGCAAGAGCTGATTCTTCTGCGCCAGGTTGTACTTCAGCTTGTCATCCAACTGCTGCGCATGCTTGGGATGTCGGCGCATTACAGCCACAAAGTGGTCCTCCTTGGCAAGGAACTTGTATAAGTCTCCCTTGATCTTCTTGCTATCCAGCTGGAACGGGTTGTTGCCGCGTGCCATGGCCTCAGGGTTGTAGTGGTACAGCGCCCAGTAGCCAGAATCTACCACGATGTAGTAGCATTGGATGGACTCTTCTATGGGGAAGCCCTGGCTGATGTGCGGGGGGTAGGCTAAGATGATGCTGGACCCTGCGCAGGCATCGACCTCCAGCGCCTGCTGAGGGTTCACGTGCACGCAGCTGCTGTCCACATGGACATGAACTTCCCCAAATTCGTGTTCTGGGTCACCAGAGACGTACCAAACCCCAAAGCAGCAAATCATGTCTTTAATCAATTTGGGGGTTTCCCAAATTTGCGGATCCCTTTTCGGGGTCCTCATTTTAAGGACTATAGTGTTTGGGGGTCTACATTGGGATCTCCCTATTTAGGGAAAGTACCATTTAGGCATCACCTTACCATCCCACTGCTCTCCTGGCTGTAGCCTGCCTTCTCACGTGGCCCGGTGAGCATCAACATCGCTGCTGTCACTGTCCGGGTCATAGCCTGTCAGTGCATTCAGCCAAGGGGGCAGGACAGAAGGGAAAAGGAGGCACAACCAAAGCGATGCCAGCAGGCCTTCGTCGGCAAATTGCTTCCGTTGATATTCCGTGTACTCTGTGATGTAGCCTTAGGATGCCAAGATATTTTTTGGTTCAAGCTATCTGTGTGTGGAGGTTTGCCTGCTTCTGTAATCCTTGCGTTCGAATGCCTCGACTTTTTGGCGCAGAGCGGCATTGTGCCAAAAAAACGGATGCGGCGCGTCGGAGGTGTACTCTACAGCTAAGAGCCAAGCGACGCAGTGTAAAAGCACAGCCCAGCCAAAGCCTTAAATCTTTGAGTAGTACGCTCCTGAATTGTGAGAGACTTGGACTTGTTTGGGCTGTAGCACGACAGCAGAAGCCTATTCAGCATCTTTTGGCGCACAGAGCTATGCAGCATTACTCTTCCACCCACCGTGGCAAGCCGAAAGGCCAAAGAATCAACGAGACTCGGGAAGCTTGCGCGGATTCGATCATCTTGCGACTGTGTTCAAAGATCCTAAAACATGTGCGGTGAGTTGCACTGAGGGGTTTGGCAGTTTTGAGCCAGTATCGCGTTTCTGGCTTCCATTTGCAGACGTTATCCCCACCCTTGGCACCGGAACCGTTGGTGGGTCTGCTCATCCTGCAAGAGTCTAGCAATGCGGAAGGAAATGAGCTTGAGGACTTCATGCTTCACGTTCAAGATGCAGCCAAACGCTGAGCTCTGCACAGCAGAAAAAGGTACAGATGCGAAGACAGAACTGGCGTAAGAGCTGGCAAAACCTCGGACATGCGGCGATGCTGTTACAGATGCTCTGGACAGAAGGCTTGAGGCCACGGCCAGAAAAGAAACTGCCACATCAGGGCGAGCCAAGGGCAACGAAAGCTACACAGGCTTTAGCACTTGAGTACAAGGGCAAGAGGGAAGTTGCATGCCGGCAAGAAGCACATCTCATCAAGCAAGGGGCCCCGAAACTATGCCCAAAATCCACTCAACTTTCCCAACCACGTTCGATGGCACTTCCGTCTATTCTCCATTCTTACTGTCCACTTTCCACTCCACTGTTCAACTCCACTTCCCGTACACCCTTCAGTCAAGTCCCGCTCACCTGTCGAGTTGCCAGACCCACCTCCCACTCTCCACTCCACTCTCAACTCCACCCTGCACTCCACCCTCCAATACACTTTCCAGTCCAGTCCACTCTCCGGTTTCCACAAACGACTCTCCATTCCACTCTTCAACTTCATCTTCTAATGGAGAAATCAACTTCATCTCCCCACCACACTGTCAAAGCCACTCTCACATCCACTTTCCACTCCATTCTCCTCTCCCCATGCTGTTATGTATCACATCATTCGCAGCGTCCAAACCTTGATGAATGCCAAATACTTATAATACTACCAATGAGTTTAGCCTGGCTCCGCTAGCCTTTGTACTGTTCCCGGCACAGTTCCAGACTTTAGCCTACTCCGCGCTTCCATATCATTTGCATCTGATTTCTCTGGCGATGTTCTTCAATTCTGCGCTGTTTGCTTCTTTAGTACTTTGCCTTCCCTCCTTTCCTTCCAATTCTCTCCTAGGAGTGGCATTCTGCTGATTGTATCACCACACTTGACAAGCTTTCGCATCACAGCCTAAGGCAATTTTTTGTGGTCGGCCGGCTGTTTTCAGTCAGGACCATTGCTTATGTTGAAGTCCTGCGATATCTTCTGTCCCTCCGCATTCGCAGCATGCAAAGATCTTGCCCATGTCCTTGCAGGCACGGCACATGTTGAGGGCAACTCGCATCCTGGACAAGCCGAGCGCGTTGCAACCAGCCACGAACGGACTTGTTGCCGTTGCCTTTCCGCCTGCCACATTTGTGCGCCAAGGTCACGCAGACGCAAGGGGTGGTGAGTCCTTGTTTCGCTCGACTACACTGCCGTTGAAAGCGTTTGGTGTCCACGACATGTCGACCTCTGCGTAGCTTCACCAGCAGCTGAACGCGGCTGTGATTCACGGCGTGCTTACGAAAAGCCTGCTCAGCCACGGCACTGGTGCACGACAGGATCGTGGGCTGGCCGTCGGTCGGGAACCTAACAGCACTTGACTTTGGAGAGCCAACAAACGGACTAAGCATCTGGTATCATCTGTTTCATGTCAGCTTTAAGCTAGCAGCTAGCCCTCTCTCACAGATAGTCTGCCAAATAGATAAGTGCATGATTGCTCTTTGTGACACAACGCGCCCGTGTATATGGGGCAGTTCTGAGCAGGCTGCGAATTGCCAGCCGCCTCAAAAGCTCGGCGGACATCAGGGCTTCATCGTCTCCATATGCACCCGGCAGCAGTGAAGTCTGAGCACAGCCATTGCGTCAGGTATTGCACAATAGGAGCAGTCACATGTGAGAGGAGCGCAGTCTTGCATGCTGACACTGCGCTGGTGCGACCATCATGGCGTTGACAATGTTGACGGACGAGATGGTGCGATGCTGAAGCTGAAAGTACGGCTACAAGGATGCCCCTCATTTCTCACATGCCGACACGTTGCCTCCACACCGTCCTATGCGTACCATCACTCAGGAAATATATAGACCGCTCCGAGCATAGAAGGCAGCAATGCTGTCGGCTTGAAGGCCTTCAACACAGCCTTCCAGTGGCAAACTAGCAGAACCTCAAGACCAAAGATGATTACATGCCATTTTCATGACACGATGCAGCTACAAGTCGCTACGTAAGGCTTCGTCCATGAGCTTTGGCTTTGTTGTGTTTACGGCAGTATGTCTAAGTGCGGAAACAAGCCCGGGGCTCGAGTGAACAGCGCACAAAAACCTGTGCATGTGGAAGCAGGCGGAAGCTTCCGCTCCGCGCAAGCTCAACTGCGGTGCTTCACCTCAACACAATGAAATACGTTGGGCGTGCTCTCAAGTTCCTAAGTTGGAAGGCGACCTTTTTCACATGCTTTGATTCCTGGTTCTCATGTAATGGCATGTCGTTTTTCCAGGAACTTTCATCCAGGTGCCGTTGCCAGCTTTTACAGCCTTGTTTGGCCACGGACTGTTTTCGAAGTAGCCTTCGCGCAGGGTCATGGGCTGTTGGACTCCTAGCTGCCAGCCGCATGGCCAAAGTACCGAGTTTGCCAGCTGCTTTGCTCAGCCTGCAGTCGTCCAGTTCTGTAGCTTGCACTTGGGCACGCAGTTGACTTGTGTAGTTTGTTTTCTGACTTGGACACTGGACAGTGTCCCTGCGGACCTTTCGAGGGCGCAGGGATGATTCAGAATCGCTCTGTCACCGAAGCTATATTTGTGAACCAGCTCCGAAAACACGCTGCGGAAGCGTGTTCCACATGTTGTTGCGTCTTTCAGGTTCAGATAGCTTGCTCCGGCCCGGGCAGGTCCACCGAAACGATGGTGGCGCGACAGCCGTGAATGGCTGGCCAGCCCGGGCCTCGCAGCGCTCCATAGGCGTAGTGGGAGAGAAAGCGGGACACGAAGGATGATGTAGGCTGCTGCTCGGATCTGTTCGGGAAGCCCCCAGAAGCACCAAGGATGTCACCAGAGAGGCTGTGCCGGCGCCAGCGCCCGCAGATCTGTATATCGACGGGTCTGAGCTATGGCGCCACGTGACCTTCCCTGCCCAGCCCTTGTAAATATCAAGTCCTTGCCTTCCTTGGGTGCTTTTCTAGTGTGTTGCTGGACTGGTGGTGCCACATGGATGCAGGTATGCTGTACAGATGCTTTCCATGAACGATGTTGACGAAGGAGCATATGTTCCAGATTCCAGATCTTTTGCGCATGCGCGAAGCAACGTCTGTGGGACACAGCACATGGCAGATGCTTTAATCACCACAGGACCCCGCTCTTCGGGGTGGCCACCCTCTTCTCGGCTGCAGTACCTGCGCAGATTCCTCGTGCCTAGAGCCCAGCTATACCATGCTATACCGGCTCACTGCAATTCAGCCTGGGGAGAAGATGCACAGAAGCGGGCTTCATGTTCCGAATGTTGGGTGACAAAACAAGGTGGTATAGAGGGTCATGCGCCAGCATGCTCAGGTCGGGCCACGCATGTGTGCCGTCAGAGCTTTTCTTTGCAACTATGTGGGCGAGACGTGGGACGCGGCAGCCAGCACTAGGCAGGCGAAGTACTGCATTTGAGGCACGTGCCTGTGTACGCATCCTGCGAGACATGGGCCTGAGATGCAACCGGCAAGAGCGTCCAACGCCGAGACTGGCATCACTTATTCAATCACCGGCTTGGACCTCGTCGGGTCCGCTTCCAAGGGGGGCTAGAGTCTAGAGAGCTTGTGCAAAGCCATGCGAAGCGTATGTAAGCATCGATGATCCAAAGGAAGAAGCAGTTCCAGTTCTGGGTGAGGGCGGTGAACAAGATGTGCAGTGGCCCCGGGTCGTCCTGAGACCCTGTGGAGGTCCCACAAACAAGCAGCATCACGCCATCTCTGGATATCTCTGGATGCAGGCCCGGCTGCTCGGTGGTCGACCCCGTACGGGGCTGGTGTTTGGACGAGCCAAACGCCCCTGTAAACTTTGGAAGGCGAGACGTCCTTGCATGCTGCCATATCCCTGAAAGATCCTCAAAGGTAAACAGATAGTCTCTCATGACGCTGTTTCACCCCTTGAAAGCTTCAATTGAAGCGCAGGAAGAAATTGCTTGGAGGGCTTGCGAGCGACTGCTTGCAGGCATCCAGATTACAGCAGTCCGTGGCACCATGCAGATCAGCTGTCCACCCAGCACGCTTTGGGAAACACTTGACTACATGGGAGCCGAAGCTTGAAGGCACGCTTTATAACGTCATAAAGCCTAGCCTAAGCCTTCACGCGTGGTGCCGGGGGAAGGCTCGCACCCGTTTCTGACCAATGCGGAAGCCGGTGACGACAAGGTGGACAATCTTATCTGCCAGGCCTCCCCAGCCGGAAGCTTATGTAAAACTTCGCAAGGATGCATGATGCAGTCTCAGTCTAGCAGTCCCCAAGACCAGCTGAAAGGAG